AAACGTTGCATCACACGAAGTCGCTCTTCAACACTTTCCTTCTCCCGCGCTTCTCTGCGTAGTTTGCGATTGTACTCACGAATTCTTTGCCGTTCGATTGCAATAGGATTGCCTGCGGCCAGCAGTTCACGCTCCATTTCACGAAGTTGCCTCAGGAGAGGCCATTCTGGTACTCTCTACAAGGAAAAATCAAAGTGATTCTGCTTCAGAAAAATGCACAGAAAAAATGGAAAACACCACAATGCAGAGGTACTACAAGATACAAAAATTCTCAAACACTAACCTCATCATCATCTGAAGCCAGAAGTGCATCAAGCCTGTTAAGATAGATTGGTTGCGGTCTCTGGAGAACGCGTTGAAACGCCGAGGGCTCAGACGGGTGATCCAAACTTTCGCTCAAACTGACGGTACGTTTTTCTCTCTGTTTCCATTCCATGAACGCATTCCAGTTAGGTGGTGGGTTATACACTGCGATTGGATACTTCAACGGGCACTCGCGAGTTTCACTGACTCTGATAGGTTGTGTTTCCACTATTTCTTCATCCATTTCGATTTCTTCAATGGGCGATGAAGGGTTGTGATCAGACCTAACACACCAAACGACAGGGATATGGTGCTGTGCTTTACTCTGCAGTCGAGAACGAACTCCTTTCAGATAATCATGACGACGCGAATTTCCTCTCCTGATCCATTGCTCAGGTAACTCTTGTGCTCCCCGTGTGGGAATGGGGATAGCTGTTGGTTGTTTTCGAGTAGAACGTCTTCTTCTTGATAGGTTCCTAGCACCGTACAAATGAAAATGACAGGCTGACAGCTGTCTCGGATACATAAGACGATCGCGTCGAGATTCACTGAGACTTGGCTTTGACTCAGATTCTAAGTCAGCTTCAGGATGTGGCTTCCACAAAGGTGGTACAGAGGCGGATCTTGATACATTGTAATCGTGCAGCTTCGTAGGAAGAGAGCTTGATCGGGTGCGACGTTGACGATTTGGCACCGATGAATAGCCAGATCTAAGGTCGAGAACTGGCATTTTCCCCGTCGAAACACATGAAAGCGCTGATGAGGAGCGTGGTAAGACCCGATGCAGATTATTCCGATGCGATTCTGCTTGTGAAATGTGCGCCAAATCACTATTCGAATAACT